GGGGCCCTGTGGCCATGATGCTCTCCTCCCGCCTCGTCAAATCTGCTCAATCACTGGGGCGGTGGGGTTTGGCAAGCGTCTGGAGCCTCGGGGGCCCTGTGGCCGGAACATGGCCCAGCTGATGCTCATGATGCTCTCCTCCCGCCTCGTCAAATCTGCTCAATCACTGGGGCGGTGTGGTTTGGCAAGCGTCTGGAGCCTAGGGGGCCCTGTGGCCGGAAAATAACCCAGCTGATGCTCATGATGCTCTCCTCCCGCCTCGTCAAATCTGCTCAATCACTGGGGCGGTGTGGTTTGGCAAGCGTCTGGAGCCTAGGGGGCCCTGTGGCCGGAAAATAACCCAGCTGATGCTCATGATGCTCTCCTCCCGCCTCGTCAAATCTGCTCAATCACTGGGGCGGTGTGGTTTGGCAAGCGTCTGGAGCCTAGGGGCCCCTGTGGCCGGAAATAACCCAGCTGATGCTCATCATGCTCTCCTCCACAAATCCCGACAGCCCTAAAACCCTAAACTTCCCAATGACCCAAGACATCGAGAACTTTTCACTTTTCGGGACGCTGCAATTGTCTTACAATTTGCAAACTGTAAGAAAAAACCCTACGCGCTAACCCGTTAAACCCGAAACCCTAAACATTTGTTGCAGCTGTGACCAAGTAGCTCGCGCCGGGTTATGGAGCCACGATTACGTTGCCCGCACAGGTTTTTGGGCGGTTTTTGACAAGGTCTTTTGCACCAAAACAGGGCCAAATTTGCTTAGGGTAACGCTAAACCCGAGAAGGACTAGATCAGCAGCCCCATTTTGTTAGTCTCCGTTCTTTTCGCTATGCGCATGCACACAAGGTTACGAAGTGCCGGCTGTCGGTGTAAGAGACATGTGCTCCCAAAAGCACCAATTAAGAACATGGGGGCACAGGGAAAACCACGTTTGGGAGAAAACCCGGTGCTCCACCCTGCAGAAGTGCCGTCGTGTGTAGCACCCCAAAAGAATGTCATGTCTCCGTTCTTCGTTCTTTCTTCTTGCCGGCAACTGAACAGATAAGCAGCCCCATCTTGCTAGTGTCCGTTTTGTTGCTGTGAACTGAAAGACTAGATCAGCAGCCCCATTTTGCTAGTCTCCGTTCTTCGTTCTTTCTTCTTGCCGGCAACTGAACAGATAAGCAGCCCCACTTTGTTAGTCTTCGTTTCTTGCTGTGAACAGTTTCCTTTCTTCGTTCTTTCTTCTTGCTGGCAACTGAACTAACTCATCAGCAGCGCCATTTTGTTAGTGTCCGTTTTGTTGCTGTGAACTGAAAGACTTGACCAGCAGCCCCATTTTGTTAGTCTCCGTTCTTCGTTCTTTCTTCTTGTTGGCAACTGAACAGATAAGCAGCGCCATTTTTTAGTCTCCGTTTTGTTGCTGTGAACTGAAAGGCTAGATCAGCAGCCCCATTTTGTTGGTCTCCGTTCTTCGTTCTTTCTTCTTGCCGGCAACTGAACAGATAAGCAGCCCCATTTTGTTAGCCTCCGTTTTTCCCTGTGAACTGAAGGACCAACTCTTGGCGCGAGCTATTTGGTCATGGCGCGAGCTATTTGGTCAAGTTCAAAAGGCTCAATTTACTTAGCTGGGTATGGCGCGAGCTATTTGGTCAAGTTCCGAGAGCTCTCAGCTACAACCAGCTAAATTGCAGCTCTTTGAACTTGGCGCGAGCGATTTAGTCATGGCGCGAGCTATTTGGTCAAGTTCAAAGAGCTCAATGTACTTGACCAAACAGCTCGCGCCATGACCAAATAGCTCGCGCCAAGTTCAAAGAGCTGAGTACATTGAGATTTTTGAACTTGACCAAATGGCTCGCGCCAAGTTTGTCTTACTTTCATCTTAGTATTGAAAACCGTGTCTTAATTTCGTCTTACTTTCGTCTTAATTTCCAAAAATGTTTCTTAATTTCGTCTTACTGTCCAAAACCATGAGCCAGCTAAATTGAGCTCTTGAACTTCATCCCTTTGTGGGAGGGCCACAGAAAAGTACATTGCGGTGTTATCCCTCTGTGGGCGGTTTAAGCACGCTAGTAAACTGTAGGGACGATTTCATTGAAAATGACAGGACCTGTCTTCGACCAAATCCTGGTTTCAAGTTTAGAAAGTCTGAATTTGCTTCGCGTCCCACTATATAAGGTCTCTGACGCCATAGGGCTCTTCAAATTTGCTTAGTGTCCCACCTTTTCAGGTCTCAATTTGCTTGGTGTCCCACTATATGGGGCCTAAATTTGCTTAGTGTCCCACTATATGATCTCCGTTCATTTAAAACCCAATGCAAATCCCAGGGTTTGGGATGCACAAACCCCATTTGGCCGCTTGCGGTCCCTACAGCGCTAGCTATTTGGCCGCTTGCGATGAATTTACTTTACTTAAACCTCACCCTATAAGTAAAATGAATCTGTATATGGGGTTTGTGCATCCCACTTCTCCCACAACAACTTCTTTCCTCGAGGAATTTTCTTAGTGGCATGGTCCCCGGAAAGTTCACAAGTCAACCCTACTTGGGCGGGACACTAAGCAAATCCTGCTTCCTCACAAGAGCTAGGGTTTTGCGTGGGTTTTGCATGGGTTTGACACGGTCTTATCGCACAAAAAGAGGGTGGTTTTAACCCTACTTGGGTGGGACACTAAGCAAATCCTGCTTCCTCACAAGAGATTTCAGCTCTTCTTATCGCACAAAAAGAGGGCGGTTTTTACCCTACTTGGGTGGGACACTAAGCAAATCCTGCTTCCTCACAAGAGCTATAGCTCTTCTTATCACACAAAAGGAGGGTGGTTTAAACCTACTTGGGTGGGACACTGCTTCCTCACAAGCTAGGGTTTTGCGTGGGTTTGTAGCTCTTCTTATCACACAAAAGGAGGGGAGCTTGAAAATGGCAGCATATGGCAGCCTGAAAGCAACAGGGAAATTACTGGGCAGAGGACTTTCCCTCCTAGCCTTGGTATATCTTGGCGTCCTTTGGCTCTGGTCGTTGGCTCTTGTGGCCACCAGTGATCTGAACATGGGAAAGTTCAAGACACAAAAGGCGTGCTGCATCAGGGTGGCGCTTGAAAGAACGGCATTGAATTGTACTGTTGAACACGAATGATGCTGGGTACCGCTAGCACACACCGTCAGGACCTCGGATGGTCCATGTTTCCACTTTCCCTGCCCATTACATTTTCCGATGTTGACATGCAAGGCGGCTGTGCGATATTGGGCTTCGCATCAGGCAACGTGGACATTGCGATGAAGGGTCGAGTGTTTGCACTCAACAGTGCCTCTGCTTCCAGCGCTCCGTGGTTCGAGAGTCATGCCTCGCTACTAGAGTGATGAACATATAGGGTCTGAAAATGTAGTTAATGTAGTTCTGCAGATACACCTCCTTTGTTGATAACTCTTAGGACATCGGAACGTCTGGGACATGATGGGCCGCCCCCAGATGCTCAAGTCAAGCATGTCGTGCAGCTCGCGAAGCCCCAACACATTGGCTGAGCGTCATGGGCCTCGAACTTTAGGAAGAACTTTTCGTAATTTCGGACTCACAAAGAGTGAGGTGGCAGATTTACTTGCTGCTCGTCAGCACTCTTCAAGCACTCAAGAAGGAGTAACTGCATAAACTTGCTAGCTGTTAGCAAACTCATCCTAACGGCAATTAGTCCGTGGAAATAAGCTGCCCGCACGTGCAGTGCATCAGGTTTCAGTTCCTGACTAGCTTCGGCATAATCAGTGTTTGCGAGATTTTGCGAGATTCTGCTCTTTCTAAGAAGTGATGGGCTGAGGCTGCCGCAGTGATGTAGCTGCAAGCATCATTGCGCTGTACCACCTGTTAAGACACAAGCGGTACAATATCTGCTGCTTTACGCAACCCACGCGCTGCCAATGTCACGCCAACTTCCTGACCATGGGTGGCGCCTCCGATCGAGTTTGCCTTAGAGGCTCTGAATTCAGCTGCTATGCAAATGCAAGCCCAGAAAAACTGAGATTTGCAATCGGCCTACACCAGGAGAACTGTCCATGAGAGATCATGAGATGCACTAAGCGCTCAGAAGGAATATGTCATCATATGGAACCTTAAGGTGACCGAGAAGCGGCCTTTTTTTGATGGCATTTTGTGGCACGCCCCAGGCTCAAGAAGGATATGCAGTGTAGCTGGCCTGAGGCACAATGATCCGGCCAGACTGCTCCCGCCTTGCGAAATTTCTTGCAAATGCATCGCAGAAACACGCAGTGACCGCCGTAATTCATCTAAGTTGTCTTCATGTGTGCTTCATAGATTCATGTATATTCATGTGTGCTTCTCTCACGCCCTGAGAGTTCACTGAGTTCACTGCTCGCGCTCCTCTTCCGAGATGATTCCGACCTCAGTGATGCGGATGGCGGGGGCCCCACTTAAACATCTCTTCGTTCTTTGGCGCTGGCAAACCTAAAAATTTTAAAAAACACGCAACTCACTGTTTGCGGCCGAGGGGCTACCCACTTCTGGTCCTCTTCTTCCCTTGCAACGACTGGGGTGCCAAACCAAGCAGCGCTGCCCGAATCTAGGCAGTTCCGAAAATTAGGGGTCCTTTTGGGGGTCCTCTCTGACGTCAGTGAACTTCATTTAGTCTGCCTGGCGTGCCTTGGGAGACGAGGGGACTGACTGACTGAGGCTTGGTTCTTTCGAACGTAGCCTGAAAGCACACTGCGAAGCCTTTGATGTAAACTTTGACTTGTTTCGCCTAGAAGTTCCTGAGTGCAACACATTCAAAGCCTGGGTTTGATGTTGAGAAAAGGACGTCTCCATACCAGACCTCGAGCAAAGACTGATAAAAGGATTGCCGCGGGAACTTCGACAAAGCCACCTGCCTCACAGTCCCTGTTCTCGGCTTGGAACTCAACCCCTTTGCACAAATCGGTGCAAAGAGCCTGGGCATCTCACAGCCATTGAACCCTCTGGCCCGAAGTCTCCGAACACATGATTCTAGGACTTTCCCAGCGCAGAAACACGCCCACGCCTTGCAGTCTTCAAGATTCTGTGCAGTCCTACGCGTCAAGCCCAGGACAATGCAAAACACATCACGACCAACATTGACCTGCTGCACACGTAACTATGCAAACTGGGAAAAAAGCAGTTGGATCAAACACTGATCAAACCGTCCAGAGGTTGCACAGGCGTGCAACGTGCCTGGCGCAATGCGGGATCCGTGTCAAATAGCAAGTAATCAAAGTAATCACAATGTGTCACACAATGTGCACAAAGAAGATCACAGGCTGAGTGAACCCTGTCTGGGTCCCACTCCACGGCTCTGTCGATGCCACCGTCCATTGGCATCAAATCAACCTTGCTCCATGGCATGTGGGCCTCGGCAGGGCTGCACCTCTGATTGCGCCAACTCTGCAACATCTGTGCTCAAGCCTTTGAAAGCCTTCACTTCTCCATTCCGACTTTCCATTCCGATTCACTTCTCGGAAGCGTGCCCCCGCATCCGAACTGAACTGTCCCTGGGAAGTCGCCGGAGGTGTCACCGTGGCAATGGTATTGTCGATGGTGGCTCCCTCCTGACATGGCTTTAGACTTTAGAGATGCACAGTGGCGCACATGATTGTCGTCACGTCGTGCGAATGCACAACGACCTTGCACTTGGCCACGGAATAGTCGCCTCAAAGCCCAAGCGCCCAAAGTTCGCATCCAATGGGCCCGCACAAGCATGCACAAGCGATGTCACAAAAACCGCACAACTTAGCCGAGTGCTTGGGTCTTCCAGCTTGCGGGTCCAATCATCCACACGCCTCGCTGAGGTTGGCTGATTGCTAGTGATTTTCAGAGGCGACCCAAGGATACCCAAGGCTCTCACGCACATACACCTGATTTATGCCAAGCACGGGGCTTACCTGCAGACAGAACCAATTGAATCAACCGAATCACCACATCGTGGAAAGTTCCCGATCGCCAAAAGTCGCAGCACTTCATGGCGGATGGGCCTACCCGCAAGTTTCCAAACAAGCCGTGGGCCATGCCGTCGTGGCTATTCACCTGGATGCCAGCGATGGTCTTTCGACATGTCTCACATGTGAGCACCTATGTACTTGGGTCCAGGCACAGAATGTCTGTTCTCTGCAAACATCAATCAGAGTGCAAGAAGCTGTCAAGTTCGCTAGCACATCAGTGATGGAATTCCAAGGCTGTGGCTTCTGGAGGAAGGCCTTTCACAATTGCGCCGGCAGAACTGCAGCATGTGCCAAAGTTCAATGAGTATGCAAACAATAATTCCTGGCATCTCGCACACCAGCTGCGAAGGCACACCGGCAAGGTCAAGCTCTGCGCCAGGCGCTGTCAGTTAGGCCAGGTAGTCATGACCAAACACATCTCAGAGCCTGCAGAACCGATCGAAAGTACATTCCTGGCGCCCGCGGCCACAACATCGAGCGCAGGACGAACCTTGCAGAATGCGACTTTGAAGCATTCGCCTCGTTTTTGTGAGCAGCCATTTGAGGCACGAGCACATCTATCAGCCTGTATGCGTTAGACAGCAGGCTTGATGCCTAGTTTTAACTGTGCTGCATTTAACATCACAACCTGTTGGAAGTGCCAGGGCTGCCACACTCAAAAACATTTGTTCCTCCCGCTGCTGCAGCAAAAATCGCATCAAGGCAACGCAAACAGCAGACATGCAGTACAGGACATGGCATTTAAGGTTTTCCCGGCAGCAAAGCAACTGTTTGTCAGTTGACTTGCGCTGCTGATTTTCTAGGAGTATACGATGCTGGAAATGCTGGAGATGGTGGCGCTCATTTTTTCTTTAAGGGCTGTGATGGCCCGCGAGATGCGGCGTGTCGTCGTGCTAAATTGGCAACATCTAGGGTTGCACCAGGTGGTTCACATGTATGAGGTCCCCCATTTGACTGGGAATTGGGTTCTTGGCCAGACCATGGCACGCGGGTTCAGGAATCTCTTATGTCTTATGGAGCTCGGGAACCCACAAGCCTGTGGCGATGTACGGGTTTATAAGGTTTAGGGTTTAGGGTTTAGGGTTTAGGGTTTTAGGGTTTAGGGTTTTAGGGTTTAGGGTTTAGGTTTAGGGTTTAGGGTTCCCTAAACCCTAAACCCTAAACCCTAAACCCTAAAACCCAAAACCCAAAACCCTAAACCCTAAAAACCCGAAGGTTTCAGGGTTTGTCGTATGTCCCCTCCCGTGCCACCAAGACCGGGAGTACGATTTGTTACGGAGAAGAGTGGGCCAGAAAAAGCCACCAAGACCCGGGAGTACGATTTGTTACACTAAATCAAATCCTGCTGATTCACAAGGTTCAAAAGAGAGTGGTTCTTGGCGCGAGCTATTTGGTCAGAACCCATTAATGTGCAAAACGCACGCAAAATCAATGGCAAGGAGCGGCAAAGGAACCTGTTGGCTGTCGTTTCGAAGCCCAAAACCCTGCATTTCGCATGAACCCGACCCACCCAAGGAGCATTAAGGACAGCTGTGGGACACTAAAGCAAGTCCTGCTTATTCACAAGGTTCAAAAGAGAGTGGTTTTTGGCGCGAGCTATTTGGTCAGAGCCCATTAATGTGCAAAACGCACGCAAAATCAATGGCAAGGAGCGGCAAAGGAACCTGTTGGCTGTAGTTTCGAAGCCAAAAACCCTGCATGTCGCATGAACCCGACCCGCCCAAGGAACATTTAAGGACAGCTCCCTGCCCCAGACTGCATAGTAGGAAGGGCGTTCCTTGGAAAGCGCGGTGGGAGAATAGTATAATATGACCCCAAAACGAATTCCAAGGAACCCTTGCGGAAGCCCTCTGAATCCCACTCGCAAACCCACTTCACCCCCGCATTGGGATTTGTAATAATAAAGCCCAGAGGTTGGTGGGATCCCGTCCGTGTCTGACAATATTATATTACCGGACTCTTGCAAAGCGTGTTATTTGGGGCTGAACATCTCAATCTACTTAAACCACCCAGCCAGGCTTAGAGGTGCGTGCCGTGTTTGGCTCGGAGAGCGGCGTGTTTGGCTTAGAGGTGCGTCTGGGCGGGTCTTGGAGGGGCGTGTTTGGCTTAGAGGTGCGTCTTGCAAGGGTGTGGTTCGCCCCGATCCTGGTTGCCGTGTCTACTTTTTGGCAGCTTTCGGACTTTTGTGCGCACACATACAACTGCTTCAAGCTCGCAGACTTGGGGCAAGCCGCGCACCAAAATTCTGCCGGCTGCATCGCGTAGCCAGCGACTGACCCAGCACGATTTCTCATGGTTACTCTTCTCTTTAGAATTGTTAGATTTTGCCTTACCCAGATACCACCTGCGCCAACAATGTCATCGGCAAAACGATGGGCGAGGAACAGAAGCCCAAGCAACCATTTAAGCCTGGGACTCGGACACTGAGCCACTGTCTCGTCAGCTTCTTTGGTTCAAGCGCGTCCCTGCCGGATTTGTCGTAAGGCATTTTGTAGACAAGCAAGGCTGATTCCAACAATGCAGGTTCTAGAGAACATGTGGGGGACCGGCCTTTGGTGAAAAAGGAGTCGCAAAAGGCCTGCCCAGAAACCACAACTCAAGAGATACAGCGGAAAGGGATGCCAGATCACACCATCTTGAATAGGGTTTTGTAACATCAAACTGCCTACTTGAAATGGTGGCCTTGCTCCTAATTCCCTCACAGCCTCAATGTAGCCGCTTTCCAAACAACAATTCGCAGGGGTAAGTTTGTAACTTCGACGCACATCTGAAGACTTGTCTTTGAGTTTTCTCGCCACACCTGCTTCCCGAACTTGTCGGCTTGTCCTGAGAGCTTCAGGGGCAACATCTGCTGCAGCTTCAATACCAGGGCAAGCGGAGTGCAACCAAAATCAACAGCAATTTGATGTCCAAGCGCAAGTGGACATTTGGTCACAGTGTTGTGTCTTCATCTCCGAGCGCCATGAAAACATGTCCCAAGGCCGCTGAAGGTCTGGTCAACATCAGCCCGATCAGTGTCCAACATGTTTATGGGGGACCACGCCGATATTCAGGCATGCAGAGGACCATGCTGCTTTGTCACAACAACGATGGCAAATCTAAGTCCAAGCGGCCACGCCTGCGAGTTCCTGCTCGCGGAGCAGGATTTCGTGGTCAGCCTCCTCTCAACAAGTTTATCGACAGCAAGCTGGCACGCAAAAACAGGTATGTTCGCCACCTCATGCATTGGGCTGGGCCTACCCGCCTACCCCACTAAATGACTGTGCAAATAACAGTCCTGCAAGGGACTTGAAGTTCCGGAGGCCTTCAGAGAATGAACTGTTGAACTAACGCCAAAGCTGGAAAGGAAGCGCAAGCCTTCAACACAAGCTCAACTTGGAAGCCAAAAACCCTACCTCCATGACTTGGGGCCCTGGCATCGGCTGTCAGTGCGACCATCACCTCGCACAGGCACTCCCTGTGCCTCGGCCATCCTTGTCCACCCGCCACCCCACTCTTTGCAGAGCCAGCCCGCCGGCGCCGCTGCACGTGCTACGAAGAAGCTGAGGAATGCACCACGGAAACCTTCTTCAGGTGCTTTCTGTGGGCTTCGCGGTGCGCACAACCCGGATTGGGCTTGTGGACTGATCTGATTCATGCTTTTCCTGGAGCGAGCTGCCAGACAAATCCCGCAGTCCGCCCGTAACCAGCCTGCGCTGCACCCCACCCTCCTGTAGCAGCCTGCGGGTCCGAAAAACAATAAAAACAATAAACCCCATACTGTTCATCTTTCATAAACAGCCTGCAACCATCTGGACAACAGAGAGCCCGGCCAGTTCGAAATTTTGCATTCCGATATGCAGGATGCCGGCGCCAACAAAATCGGTCTCCTGTCTGTACGTCTCCACCTTTTCTACTCCCGGGACTTGCTGCGTCGTGTAGACATCTTCCGCGTCTACGAAAGGGCCTACGACACCTCCAAGCTGGAATGACTGCAGACAGGCTTGCACTTGTGAGTGGCCAAGGTCTGCTCTGAAGGTCCTGGAATTGAGCCGGCAATGCGTCGGGACGGCCATTGGTTTCTGAGAAGTTGTTCTGGCCGCCCCTCTACCTCGCCTAGCAGTGGTCTATCCTGGAGGCCCTGGAGACGAAGGAGCTCATTGGCTTTGGCCGAAACATCGTCATGGCTCACACCAGCCAAACTGCAAAGAGTTGCGTACCAGTCGGCGAGGTGGATGACCCCGTGGAAACTGCTGCCACGATGTCTGGCTGGGATGAATCCTCCAGAGATGAAAGCATTGGTGCGCATCCCACCTTCGCACTCTGAAAACTTGCCGGATTTCAAGGATTTCAAGGGATAGTTGTTGGCACCCGAAATGACTTGGACGCTTCCACAGTTGTCAGATATGAAAATAACCAGCGTGTCTTCAAACATGCCCTGCTCTTCCAACGCCTCAGCAAGCTCTCCCATGACAAAGTCCGTAGAGGCCAGGCTGACAGCCATCTTCCAGGGAAGTCTCTCTTCAATATCCGCATTCTCCAGGGACTTCTCAACTTTGGCTTCCAAAATGGAGGATGAAGCAGTGAACTCGAAGGGGACATGCACACGGTGCGATAAGTAAGTGAGGAACAACGGCCTTGAAGAGTCGTGATTCTTGATAGGCCTCATAGCATACTCCAAAAGCATGGACTCTTCGAAGCAGCTCTCCGGTAAGCAACCGGTTTGTGTGAAGGACTCGCCTTTCACGTCCTTTCTGCAGCCGAGTTCTGCAGCAATCATCTCATACACGCCGCCGCGGTAGATGGCGTTGTACAAAGCGAAGTCCTGAAACAACTCCACACATATATTGCGAATGAAATCCTCGGAGTCGCCGAGCTTCGACCAGTAATCATACGTAGGCCACAAAGCAAAGCAACTGTTCATTCTCAGGCGTGTTGCTGCTGTGAAGTAGTTCTGGCCGTGTTGCGGGCCCGATGTGTCGCCCGCAACGTCAGAGATGAGACACCGCGTGTTCTCTTGCCAGGTCTCGCTGCCCAGTCGAGGAGGAGTGTCACCTTTGAGTTGGGATGGAGCCACAAGCCCGTCATCCATCAAAAGGCGTGCGCCTCGAAAGCCCGAGACGAGGCAGGGTGAACCAAGTTCGCACTGGAAGGACTGGCCTCAATGCGGCCCTGCAATAACGAGTGTACCTACAGCGATGGTGAAGTTCTGTGAGATGTTGCAAGTACTAGCATCTTCGCAAGCACCAAAGACGATAAGCACCGGGACCTGCAAATATGAATGCACTAGCGGCGTGATCCGAAACCAGTACATCTCCCATATTGACATTGAAAGAGAAGTTGACACCATCCGAGGTCTCTGCAAAGCGGCTCAAGCGCAAAGCTCCCTATCAGAAGTAGCATCGACGGCAAGATGTGGACATCGGACATCAGCAATGGTCAGCAGACCCACCATATACATAGTGTTCGGCTGTCACGAGGCCTATTGTTCCACCTGGCAAAGACACCCAGCTCGCGAACGACTCCAAGGCAGGTCGCGGAGCCATCGACAGGACATCGCATTAACTCAGAAGTCGCCAAACAGATTAAGGACCTTGAAGGCATGTTATGTCCATTGAGTCTATTGGAGTTGGAAGCTCGGTATTGATGTTCTTCCATGTGAGAATAGGATGCGGGATTCGGATTACACTGGATGCCAATAAAACTCCGGTTCGAAGGTGCTCGCGGCCGGGTGAGAATGCCGAGACAAAAGCCGCGAACGTTTGATACGCGAAGTCCGAAACCCTCGTCACATGCCTGACAATCTGGACTCCGTGTCGGTGATCTCGAAGGCTCGTGGTGTCATTCAGCCATTCACGTGGAGCTTGTCGCATCCGGCCACTGTTGAGAAGGCTTTCACCTCGAATGGCCTCCTGTTGCCAGTCACACAAACATCATTGCCAGGGTAATCGTTGAGGAAGTTTGTACTGGAAACGCAGCCGTCTGCGTCCACCGAACAAGACCCCGCTGTAACTTTTGAAGCAATCGATCCCTGACATGCAAGTGCCCACACGCAGCAAATAACTGCACTTGCAGCGCCATGCCGCCCTTGCTCATGCACACAAGTGGTAAGTCGCAAGGATGCTACAAATTGCTTGCGCTCTGGCTTGAGCCAGTCGAAATGGCAGTAGCATGAAGTAGCAGCAACAGCAAATGAACTGCGAAACGTGCTCGATCTCCATGATGGATGGTGCTACCTCTGCAACTGTACGCATATCTTGCCGCACGGCCGTAGGATGCACTTTCGTGCAAGGCATTTTCCTGTTTGAGTCATTGAGCGATGTGTGCAGCTCGGCTTTCTTGGGCCAGGCCATGCAACTGCAACTACAGGGGCGCATTGCTTTGCTTCCCCACAGCTATGATGCCGGTGAAGTCTCGCAAACGACAAAGCAGTCTGAGATGTGAGGTGGACTCAGGCGACACTCAAAACTCTCAGTCGAGGCTGCAAACCCGACAGCACATGGGCTCTATGAGTGCTTGTTAACACTGCCCTACCTGATTCATCGGCGCCTGCAGCACAGAAGGGACCAGGAAGCCTGCGTGCACACATCCGATCACATCCGAGAAACGATCCAGAACCTCACCTGTGATTGAAGCTTCCATGATCCCCACTTCGGTCGTTTGGCTGCCTGTGCTGTGGCTTTCCTCCACCTTCTTCTCCGAAACGTTTAATCGCGCTCTGATTTCACAGCTCGGCAACTGAAGTGAAGCCCCGACCAAACCCCCATGCTCTCCTTCGTTGAAGCGGCCACCATCAAACCGATAGTGTCTTGGTATGTCTGGGTCACTGTTAGTATGTCTGACCCACCCAGGCCCCCACCCAGCAACCGCACTCTCGAAGAGTCGCCTGAGACTCCTTGGTGGCCTGTTCTACCAAGGCCGCGATCCCAACCTGCTCCAAGAGTGCACGAGACTGCAGGTCGCCAAGCAACTCCACTTTGGAAGAATCCCCTCTGACTTGTTAGTGTCCGACAGGGCAGTCGGCAAGTCCGCAGGCTCGTTTGTGGAACACAAACCATGGACCTGTAGAATACTTGTGTAGGGCATTCGGTACATTATGCGTGGATACCGTCAACTGGCATGCAATACTTTAATCTCTGAAGCACTGGCATTCTGCCACACATGGTAGAAGGTGTGCAGCATCACTCTGACGGTACTGAGGGCTCTAGCAGACGCCACAGACTCTGACATAGCCTGAAGATAAGAGAGAAGCTCTCTCAAGCCCCTGAAGCAAGGAATCGCCCCATCTGTGCCTTGCACGTCTGCAGCTCAGCTGCCATCGCTTCATGTGCAGCCTGGCAGACATCAGAACATTTCTCAAGCTTTTCACAACGACACCCTCATTGTAGCACTATTTCGCCACCAATGACACGCAACCGAAGTCGCATGAGCCGCTGTGAGAACATGCGTTCAGAGGCAAGGACGCTTACAACGGGGGCATTCACATCACCAGCACATGTTTCGAGACCTGAAGTTGATGGTGACTGGGAGAAGGATGAACGCATGCGACACACAAGAAGTGGACAAGATGGACGTCCCAAATGGGGAAACCTGGCTGGGGACCCTCATTGGGCATAGGAAGCCAAACTGTGGACCTGTAGAATACTTGTGTCGGGCATTCGGTACATTGTGCGTGGATACCGTATACTGGCATGCTTTCATCTCTGAGGCACTGGCTTCTGCCACACGTGGTAGAATCTGTGTCACAGCAGCATCACTCTGACGGTACTGAGGGCTCTAGCAGACGCCACAGACTCTGACATAGCCGGAAAATACGAGAGAAACTCTCTCAAGCTACGAAACAGGAAGAAAAGCTAAGGTACAGTTCTGACACCCAACCTTGACGAAGCACAAAGTGGGTGGAAGGTATCTCCCCGATCTCTTTTTGGAGAACGCACCGCACCCCCAGTAACTTGCGGTATTGACACCTTGACCTCGGGGCCCTGAAGCAAGGAATCGTCCTATCTGTGCCTTGCAAGTCTGCAGCTCAACTGCCATCGCTTCATGTGCAGCCTGGCAGAAATCACGCGCCCAAGCCGACGAGACACAGGTGGGTCGGCGTCGCTGCCCCAGTTGCTTGCGGTATTGACACCTTGAACCCCCGTGGCCCCTGAAGCAAGGAATCGTCCCGTCTGTGCCTTGCACGACTGCAGCTCAACTGCCATCGCTTCATGCGCAGCCTGGCAGAAGTCAGGACAACGAAAAGGCCCTTCCGCTCTGGAGCTCAGCTTTTCACAACGACACCCTCATTGTAGCATTATTTCGCCACCAATGACACGCAACCGAAGTCGCATGAGCCGCTGTGAGAACATGCGTTCAGAGGCAAGGACGCTTACAACGGGGGCATTCACATCACCAGCACATGTTTCGAGACCTGAAGTTGATGGTGACTGGGAGAAGGATGAACGCATGCGACACACAAGAATTGGACAAGATGGACGTCCCAAATGGGGAAACCTGGCTGGGGACCCTCATTGGGCATAGGAAGCCAAACTGTGGACCCGTAGAATACTTGTGTCGGGCATTCGGTACATTGTGCGTGGATACCGTATACTGGCATGCTTTCATCTCTGAGGCACTGGCTTCTGCCACACATGGTAGAATCTGTGTCACAGCAGCATCACTCTGACGGTACTGAGGGCTCTAGCAAACGCCACAGACTCTGACATAGCCGGAAAATACGAGAGAAACTCTCTCAAGCTACGAGACAGGAAGAAAAGCTCAGGTTCAGTTCTGAACGGATTGCACTTCCAACCTTGACGAAGCACAAACTGGGTGGAAGGTATGTCCCCGATCTCTTTTTGGAGAACGCACGCACCCAAGCCAACGAGACACAGGTGGTCGGCGTCGCTGCCCTCAATTACTTGCGGTATTGATACCTTGACCCTTGTGGCGACTGAAACATGGAGACGTCCCATTCGCGCCTGGGGTCTCTGCAGCCTCTGCGGCTGAGCTGCCATCGCTCCCTGTGCAGCCAGCAGCAATCAAGGCACTTCTCAACAAACAGACCCTTCGCGTCCTTTGTTTTAAGTCATTCGCTTGCACAATGACATACGTTGAACTGGCCCCACCTCTGCCACGAGGACTGCCTCCGCGGCACTAGGTTCCTGACAACAACGGCTACACTCCGCTCTCCAACCCTTGCCCGCTCTCAAGCCCTGTCTGGTACGTCACTGACATCACGATGGAACTAGCGACAAACAAGCGAAGCAAATTGAAAGACGCTGTCCTTGTCGGGTGTTTGACATGGGGCGGGCTGCAGGTCGTGGGGGTGTCCGGTAATGGGGCCTGACACTGGAACCTTCGACTTTCAGGATGGGAGCACGGTGAACCCAACTCTGGAAGCAGCCCTAAGATAACTGTGCAGAAATAGCACATCAGCAGAGAAGCAGCTGCAGGTGCAGCACCAGCATACAGCATGATTCTTTTTTTGAATCGTTCCTCGGCACATTTCGATTGTGCTTTCCCATTCGACGGCACTGTTTGCTGAATTGGGTGACGGTAGTTTTCCTGAGTCGGACAACGTTTTCAGAAACCCTCCCTACGGGCCAATGCAGGATATCTGCGCATCGTTGCTTCGTGGCCATCCGGCAATCAGCAATCTCGGACCACGCGTTTCCGACATCAGCCTGCGGTGCCTCCCGACTACCTGCATATGCAGCCGAGTTACAGACACCACCGCTGCGGTGCTTCTGGAACCTGATGGCCTATCAGGACTGTAAGGAGCTTTTGTCAGGTTTTGCAGCATGCAGTCCTGGAACCTGCCTCATCCTGGTGAGGCGTGGGCCCGAACTCTGAGTCATTCTTACCTGTGCAAGCACGGCTGCGGGCACTCCTTGCCTAGGCTCAGAGCAGCGTTCTTCTAAAGAGTGCAATCTTGGCCGGAAACCCACTGGTCCGCGTTCATGTTGGGAATGCCAGCAGGGCAGTACATGAAGATATCCTGCGAGAGGCTTCCGATGAAAGCAAAGGGTGGGCACGCAAGTTCAATCAAGGTGGCCTCCTGGAAATCTTCGCTTTGCAATTCGACGCGGAAGGACACTGGCCTGGGCACGAAATCAGGTCATCTGCAATGCGGCCAGGACATGCTGCACACCTCTGCTCATCACCCATTCGAGGCTAACCCAGCAAGCACAAACCGGTGCTAGACCTGCAGCATCCTGAAGCCTAGCGACTGGATGGAAGTAGCTTTGAGCTTGAGGCCGCGCATGACCTCGTGAACGCTGACCTTGGTGAAGTCGGGTCGAGAAAGACAACTTCGAATGATGCTTCATCGGAAATCGCGACCGTGTCCACGTTGGCCACGCGACCATTTGCGTGCTCAAGGCTTGATCGTGACGGCAATGCTGACAGTGGTGGCTGAGAGCTGCATCTACTCTTGCATGAGGCTGGCCTAACAGTTGCCGGTGGCTACGGAAGGGCAACCTGTGCTTATGGCAGAGAATACAAGTGGTCGGCCATTGAAGTATCCACTCTGCGCTCTCTCTCCGTAATGGGTATTGGCACCCGCGATCATACAGGCTGAATATCCGACTGCCTGCAGCCCCGCATCTGCCTGCCTATACACCCCGCAAAGCTTGTGTCAAAGGCAGGTTGCGTCCACGCACCGCTTTGGGAGAAAATCGAAGCCCTTCTGCGGAGAAGCTGTCTGGAATGCCTCGCCAGGTTTGGCAAGTGCA